ATCGTTAATCAAATCGTCAATTCTACTAGGAAATAAGCGTTAACCGAGGCTCGTTCGAAATTCTGACGCGCAACAAGGTCGAAGTCTCGCTGGTAACGCAAATTCCTGGCGACGAATCTACGTGTATATACGGGGTGGGTCGGAATTATTATTACAACCGAGCAAGCAGTGTGATTCTACGTGAAAAAACAAATCGAAAATAAAGAATAAAATTTTTTCATTCGAAGCTTCGTTAGCGAGAAAATCGACTTTGAATATTCACCGCGTACGCTGCTATACTGGCCCATCCATCTAACAATAAGTCCCAGTTGAGTGCGCGCGCACTCGGTGAATATTCAAAGTCGATTTTCTCGACAACGAAGCTTCAAACGAAAAAATTTTGTTCTTTATTTTCGATTTGTTTTTTCACGTAGAATCACCCCCTCCTCGGTTGCACCACCGATGCCGATGTATATGTGGTCTATCCATCTAAGCCTAAGTGCCCGCGTACTCGGTGAATATTCCGAGTCGATTTTCTCGACAACGAAGCTTCGAATGAAAAAATTTTACTCCTTTTTTTCGACTTGTTTTTTCAAGTAGAATCACCTGCTGCTCGGTTGTACCACCGATGCTGGTGTATTGGTGATCTATCCATCTAAGCCAAAGTTAAGTGCTCGTGTACTCGGTGTACATTCAAAGTCGATTTTCTCGACAACGGAGCTTCGAATGAAAAAAGTTTATTCCTTTTTTTTCGTTCTGTTTTTCCCACCCTGTATTTCAACGTAAGCGCGTTTTCGGTCTGCTGCTTCCAGGTGGCTCCAGCGTCGCGGGATGCACCCAGCGCGAAGAGCCTTTAATGTGATTGAATTTTACGTCACTGTGTTCTACTGTTGCGTAACACTCACCGTACAGACGCGATTATTTTTTTAATTTTGCTTTTCCTGAATCGACGGTCTGTTCAGAGACGAAGTCGTCGAGGTTAGAGAGAGAAAACTGGCTTTTATTTTACAGTTGCATTTACGCGGAATAATACGTGTTTATATGGACTTAACGAGGTAGATAATGTCGGAGGATATTTTCAGTCGTCTGAGAAAAATACAATTTTTGTATGTTTTGGAATCGTGATTGAGATAAACGTGGGCTCAAGCGTATACGTGTGTTACTACGCGTAAGGTATCTAGCGAGCGTCACTAGGACTTCTAGGGACTAGTGGGAGTTTCTAGGGATTCCTAGCGATAGAAGAGGTCTTTATCGGTATTTGTAAATGAAATATGGGATTAATTTCTGCTTTTAGAAATTGGTATCCGATGCACTACCGAATTATCGTAATCGATGTAAAGTGTTGCAAATTTTATTCTGATATTTCAATAATTAAAATTCGATTTTCTGTTCTATGGCTTTTTGGCTTTAAAATAATTTTCGATGGACGAATTTAGTAAATTACTCTACGATGGGAAAGCTTCCGCTTCTCTTCCTTTTTTTTTTTAGTGACACTAAAAGTACCTATTCTATCTTTTGTCTTCTTTTTTCTCTTAATGGTACTATTACTTTCGCGCACTGAAGTGACAAAGTAAAAGCAGTGGGTTTAAGTTCTCTTTTATTTCAATAGTGCCATTGTCTCTGTATTATTATGGAGATCCTTTGTTACAGATATTTGGTTTAAAGTACCGACTCTGTCAAAGTTCAAGTTCACAAGATTTAATCATAATGAAATTCTCATATTAGCTTTCCGGTAAAAATGAGTGCAGGAAAAATCAACAAATTTTAAAATGAACATATAATAATAATAATGCATAATACAATACTAAAATAAATTTTTTAATCCGACTAACTGAAGAAAAATATATTTGAATAAGATGTTGATTATAAAGCGTGCAATTAACAAGGAAATAAAGATTAATAAAAATTCGGTGATAAATTTAAGATTTTATTTGATGTGGATCGAATTATTTAATATTTTGGCGGGAAACTGAGGGAATAACGAGGTCATAATTCTTAGTCGAAAGTGAAACAGATCTCGGTATTTAAGAAAATCTTCGTGATCTGAATTTAGAGACTTATGATCTATGGAAATATTTGTTTGACTTTAATTGGAGCTTACATGACTATGAATAATATTTACGTGACGTTGCACGATTATTTTATTATGTTTAACTTCGTGAAACCGGTGACAAGATAATTTCTCATCGTTCTTTCTTGCAGAATGAGTCACACGATCGTGACGAGTCTTGTATATTTGGATGAAATTCAGCAGTAAAATGCGGCAGAGGAGAGAATTTAATTGTATAACGTGATTAATCTCACTGTGACATAATTCTTGCTCCAGTGCAATCTAAATGATGTAACTGTATCTTTCGTTTCGGAATAACAGTTTTTCACCGGGAAATCTGTGACAGATATTTTTGATTCTCTTTTTTTTTCAAATATTTGTGCATTTCTTTTAAGATTATTTAGTATGCTAAACAGTAGAATAACATAAAAAATTAAGTACACGCATAACTAGCATAATTAAAATATTTCTGCCCTCTGAAGTCATAACATAGTTTTTTGAATTTTATTAGAAATTATTCTGCAACAATTAAAACAATTAAATAAAATTATGTAACTATAATAATAAAAGAATTAAACGATAATGGATAATAATCAAAATTATGTAATAATAAAATAATTGAAGCTTCATAACAATAGAAAAAAGGTAGTATAATAATAATACAATAGTAGAACTTATGTAAGAGTTGAAATAACTGACTATGATAATTAATAATAATTAATATCGCGTAACAATAAAAAAATTAAATTAAAGTAATAATAAAAATTATAATAAAAATTAAGATTATTAGATAATAATTAAAGAATTATTCCAACAATTTCGAAAATTTATTTTTGTAATTAAAAAAAAATTCACTTTTAAAGTTTTCTCCTACTTGAAAATAATTATACAATACATACATGACGGGATATATGGCAATATATCTATAGAACAGATCGCCTAACAGTTGCGTAAGATAATTTAATAACATAGATACCTACGGATGCCTGTAACACATGCGGACAAATAAACACGTATGTAATTCGATCGGTATAACAAGCTCGATAACAGGAAACGTTTACTTTTCACGTTCATCAGACGCTCGTCGCTTGAAACTTTGCAGCAAAGATGCTAAAACTCCTACAAACTTCCGCCATTTACGAAAGCATTGACCCATTTCGAAAACATCTTATCTCAAGTTTCGATGAAACGTGATCTAAATTATAATTAACCATCCTCCAATTCGTGAGATCCATTTTAAAAAACATTTCCCAAAAATCTGCACAAAATATTTGAATTTTCGACTCATCCTTCGATATATTAATGCTAAAATATTAATAATAAAATATGCAGACGAAAACAAGTGTAAAAAGTTGAAAATAAAAATGTTTATCAAGAAATTTTTATTACTACCGTAGATGGAAAAATGAAAAAACCGTTACACGCAGGTACGGTGGAATGAAGATTGAAATTTTCGATTTAAATTTTTTCTAAACCAACGGTTTATGATTTCACATTTAATAGAAGTCTTTTCTTTTAATAATTCTATTGTTTTTAACATTATTTGAGTATATTTTATTTTAACAACGATATAAATATAATATACAGCGAGGTTAGTCAAGGTCAAAGGTTATAACCGTTCAAGGTCACCTCCATTACTCGCATTCACATTAAAACTTCCCTAATCCTACCAGAATTCAATTACTATTTTTATTCATACGTAATCTCCTTGCAGAATATTAGAAACGAAATGTCCTCTCAATGTCAAGACGCCATTTTAATTTTCCTATTTTCTATTTCTTTATTCTTTTCTTTCATCTAAAAACGATTTATAACGAAGTGGGAATAATAAAAGTAAAGGAAGATGTATAACTAAATTACATAGTATTGAGAACAAATTTGTATTATGAGGTGGGCAAACTATAGAGATCAAATTCTATAGTCGTATTTCTGAGACGCCATGCACGTATAAACGTTCACATTTGCTTAATCGGCGTGTCGTTACGGGTCACGTGCGAGTTCAATGAGCCTGGAGGGAAGAGCG